TAATGTAATAGAGTTATGTATATATATTCACTTTTTCAATATTTCTTTATAGATTTTATATTTTAAGAGTGTCAAAAGTTAACTCGAGCAAAAACATTCTTAAGTGGCTATCTTTTAAATAAATACACATAAATTTAAAATGATCAAAATATTTCATTTAAGGCCTAATGATAGTCAAACAAAATTTAATTTTAATTGAGGATGCATAATAATAATAAATAAACTTAAAGATGTCATTGATGATGTTAAATAAAAGAAAGATCAAATAATCTTGATTAATTATTAAATATAAAAGAAAATCTATTACAATTAAAATAACAGATTTAGATATAAATTGATAAATATATTAATATCATTATTCAATAAAACAACATCTTTTATGATTTCTAAACAAATTTTATTCATAAAAATTTAAAGTCTTTAAACAAAAGATTATTATAATCAAAATATCTTTAATAAAAATTAGAAAGAAATAACTTTAGCATTTATTTTAAACACTTCTAATTTTCTTAAGTTTAGGAATGTCCAAATAGATAAATATATAAATATATTTTATGAAAAATTAATGGAGTTAGACCTTATAAATGGGAAATATTAATTTAAGTAGAAGTTCAAGAGTAATTTGAAGTAAACTAGGTAACTGGGAAACTAAGGAACATGGCTACTGAGATTAGAACCTTTCTTATAATTCTTTGGAATAATGTTATCAAGTTAAGAATCTTAGCCTGATAGGATAATAGCTTTGATAAAAATCGAACATAGAGATCCTTAATTTATAATGAATTAATTTATGATAGGGGGTTTAAGTAATTAAGATCTACAAATTTTCAATGGGTAGAGAAAAATAAAAATCTTAAAATTGATCATGACAGTAAATTTAAGGAAAAATTGAATAAGTAAGATACTTTTAGAAGCTTATTAGAAAAAAATTATGAAAAAAATTATATTAAGAGAAGTTATTATTAAATTAAAAAGAGATTGTTGATTAGTATATATGCATACCAATGGTTTATTTTTGTTAGTTTTAATCCTATTCTTTATAAGCACCCCATGAAACTAGAGATATTAGAACCTTGTATTTGCTGGGATGGAGAAATTCTATTCTTCTAGTTAATATGAATAGCAAATAACTCCATTCTCTTAAAGAAAACTACAATAAGAATTGGGAATATCAACTGTATGAACACTAATCTTATGTTATGTAGATACTATTTGGGAAGAATACTTAGTAGGTAATATTTGTCATTAATAATAAAATATAACTCAAAATGTAGAACCTAAAGAGGAAAGATTTTTAGGCTATACAGCAATAATTACTAAGAAAAAAGATGATGAAAAAAAGGATACAGGAAAATCCTTAAACCAAGTAGAATAATTTTTATTTCAATAAAGTCTATTGATTTATACAAGATAAAGAGGGTTATTTAAGACCACTCTTGCTTAAAATCTAAAGAGCTCTAAATAGGAACTAATATTGGATTTAAGTAAGGTTTTTTTTGAATGAAACTCTAATAGAACTCAAAGCTAATTGAGATTAGATAGAGGAATATATAAGATATAATTAGAGTAAGGAAGTTCATTAGAAGTTATTCTTTAATTAAATTAACTCTATGAAGTATGTGTTTTAGGAAAATAGACTGAAATATCAAAACCCAGAGCATGGTTTGCAAAATTCTAAATTTGGAATAGAATAGTTACTAAGGTAGGCTCTATTCTAAAAAGTTATCAATATAATTAATTACTAAATTGAATATCAATCTTTAATGCTAATTTAGTAATAAACTGGAGTCAAACTAAATGGCAATGTTATCTATTTTGGTAATAAATGCAAGATAGTTGAAAAAAGGTTAATAAAAATGTTGAAAATCAATTATCAATCAAGCTTTATAATTGTTAATTCTGAAGATTAATTCAAATGGTTGTAATTTTTGATAAACAAAAGTATACCATCCCTAATATTATCATGTATTATTTTAATTATTTTTAGAGAGGGAAACTTGC